TATGGTAAACTTTTCCATTTCAATTGATGTTAAAATTGTTTAGAATTTTGCATAACTCTTCCTCTTCTTCTTGATTGGCATAGACACCGCTTACGCGATTATAGCCGAGTTAACAACAGCGCGCCAGTCGTTTCTTCTTTTCGCTACGTGGCGCCAATTAGATATTCCAAGTGAAGCCAGGTCCTTCTCCACTTGGTCCTTCCAACGGAGTGGAGGTCTTCCTCTTCCTCTGCTTCCCCCGGCGGATACTGGAGTGTTTTCGTCCATCCGGACAACATGACCTAGCCAGCGTAGCCGCTGTCTTTTAATTCGCTGCACTATGTCAATCATATATCTCGTACAGCTCATCGTTCCATCGAATGCGATATTCGCCGTGGCCAACGCGCAAAGGACCATAAATCTTTCGCAGAACTTTTCTCTCGAAAACTCGCAACGTCGACTCATCTGTTGTTGACATCGTCCAAGCCTCTGCACCATATAGGAGGACGGGAATTATGAGTGACTTATAGAGTTTGGTTTTTGTTTGTCGAGAGAGGACTTTGCTTCTCAATTGCCTACTCAAGTAAGCATAACTCACAGGTATGTAAAACTCTAACACCCACTACAGCTCGAAGCTGTATATGTCATTGGGGGTATTAACTGATTAATATTCCTGCTTCATTAAAAAAATATATGTGTATCTCTCATTTGCTATTTAGATTATTTTAAAATTAACACTATATTTATATTTTCTGAATGCAATTTTTGATTTTTTACTTTAGTGGCTTTAGTGAAGATGTATTACCAAAAGAATTACAAACGCCATTAACGAAAATAGACTTCAATATTCGCTAACATATTTATAATATGAACCGACGTAGTTACATACTTATGTATGTACAAATCTGGATTTATAGGGAAAATTACCCAATGTCGACTAGGAAAGGTTTTTACATACATATTTTATTCAAAATGTAAACTTGTTCGAGTAAAACAAATACGTATAGCCAAAAGGCTAATTTCAATAACTCATTTGCTCCATAAAATTTCCAAAGTATATCCATAAGTATTTTTCTTTAGTACTTTAGGGTATAAACCATTACCTATGCGAAATTGCCCTTAACTGCTTAAGCTACTCTTACGTACGACTGTAAATTAGCTGCATATCTGAGTATTTGCATAGGTGCACAGAGTATTTACTATATACATATGTAGATACATGCAAATATATGTATATGTATGTATGTAAAGGTGATTTCTTGCGTGATTCACTGCGACGCCGGTTGTTCATATCACGCCGTATATTTGCGCATTGAACTCAAAAGTCGCGTGATTCATGAGATTCTCACTTGTGGGCTGTTATATTTGTGATTCCTCCGCCGAATCTTTTTAGTTTTCGCTCTCCACACCACGTTTCCATTGAATGTGCTAATACACTGAAACGTGTGTAACATCCAAATGTATTTCAACGACCACATCGATCGCTCTACCAACAAAATACATTCACTTTTGCATTATTTTTATATTCTAGTTTTTATATATTTGCATTATTTTTATATTTTGTTGATAGTAATGAGAAACAGATCCCCACGCCCAAATATTTGCGAAAGGTTTCTCTCACCTCCTATGCCTTGCACAAATAGACTTTCACATCACATACAGGCGAATATATACACCTGTGCATGTATGTATGTATAGTTGAGCATTTACTATTTGCAAACTGTTGTAAAATGCATCCACATCCATCTAGGCATGTACAATTGTACGTTGATCTGAGGTTGTATTAAATATTCATATTGAAGTTCGTATAAAAATAAATTCATATGTATACATATGCACATATATACTATAAGTATGTATATAGCGACAGGTGATAATACTTAAACCACACATTGAACTTCCGAGTACCACGTATAGCCTTTGGTCTCTCTTAGCACTTTTCTGATATATAATTTTTGTCTACTATATTCTTGATCCCTCTTATATAAAAGTAACGGAAATCCCTTGTCATAAATAAAGCCAAAAAATATTCTAGATACTAGCATCAAATTTTACAAAACTAATTTAAAACATAATATTTATATTTTTTATCGCTAAAAAGATTTCAGATTAGTTTAATTGTCGTATCAAATACTTAAAAACATTAGCAGTATTTTCTTTTCTTTCCAGTTGTGGCATATGTAAGATTTATATAATGCATATAATAAATCAGTATTGATAAATAAGTAATATTTCAAATGTCCAATGAAAAACAATCTTCATATTCAATTTCAATATATTATCCAATCATAATTTTGAAGAATATATTTAACACTCTGGGTCGCAGAGGGAAACCGGTACCTGGGAGGATCCATCGATATCATCGTTATTTATATATTTCTTTATTTTGAGACTAAAGTTATTTTAATTTTACCATGTTTATGTATATTTTTTGTAGATGTTAACTTGTGCTAACTTGCTAACGATCAGCTAAAGCATCCAGAAGAAATATTGATGCAGGTCTGAAAAATGAACTGAACATACAGGCATCATACTCCTACAATTTTCAAGAATCATTTGAATACATTCTTCCACCACAAATCATTTACATTACGAAATTTAGGAAAACACCCTTAAAGTAATTTCGAATTTTTAACATTTATTTTATTTCTAATATCGGCCACTTTAGTTAGTGGTTGCTGTTAGTTACATGCATATGTATGTATTTTGTCATTCTATCTTGTACCACTACGGTCATTTGTGGTCCTTTACCAGTAATTAATTAAACACAAGTACGCATGTATATACCCAATATCTTTCCTCTGGGTTCCGTGCTTCGATAAGCTTCATTTAATACATATTTCTTATTACTGCACTAAATCAGTTCATATTTTTGTGGGTATGTTATTTAAATCCATACATATTACTATGCACTTCTATGCAACTAGTGTGTTTATATGTATGTAAGTAAAAATGTATATTAGTATGCACTTGTAAACATATAGTTCAATATGTAATCATATACTCTTTACCTTGCTATGGCATTTGGCGAGATTTCTGATTTTGCAGATTCTTCTTTAAACAAATCAGTCGTAATAATTTCTATGTCTGATACATATGGGTTGTTAGGTGGCAATATGCAATGAATAATTCTACTCACATTTTATACTTGTATATATTAATTGATAAATGTGCCATTTTTTAGGGTAATTATTATTATAATTTTTTTTTTAAGATATTCATAGCCTTACCTTCTAGTATTTTTTTGTTTCAATCTAATTGTGTATAATTGTATAATATGCTCTAGATATACGTAGGTAAATATAAAAGTTACGTTTAAACATTCACGTTCATAGAAAATTCTTTTATAAGAACGGTAAATGAATGATTTTTGTTAAGTTCTTTGTTCAATAAAATCCGCAAATCAGCTTTCAAATGGTGTGTAATTGTATAAGATATGTATACACATATTAAATGTAAAATGTATTTCCAGGTGTTACCGTGTCTAAATTACAATGAAAATTGATGCTCAAGGTCCCTAACGCGTTAAAAAAGTTTGGGTAGTATAATGTGTGACTCATATCAGCAAATATCAATTTGCCGAATTTGCTTGAAAAGAAGAACACAATGGAATTTCAGCTTTGAACAGCTGATTGTCATGATTTAAAATGAATCCTACACTTTTTATTTACCATAAAGGTAATTATTTTATTGACTTGTTAACTGTGATTAAAAAATGTTTTTTTGTTTTTGCTTCTGGCAAAAATGGAGAATAACTCGATCCAATACTTTAAAGCACGCTCTCAACAAAACTACGCTTTGTATACAGTTCAAAGCGCCATTTGTTCGAAGCGCTCATCTATGAGAATCAGACAAAAAATGCACACGCTGGAAAAGTAAAACACTTTTTCTGCTACATTTTATATTACCATTTGGAAGTGCACTTGTGCAATATGGAAGCTAACTAATTCGAAAAAACGAGTTAAAGGCTAAGAAATTCGCGTAAGGAAAGCTACCGCGCGCATGTTATCGTAGTCAGTCTCCGTATTTAAAATATTTCATTAAAACGTCATATCTACTCGCACAACAAAATACATTATATTTGGATTTAAGCTAAAAAAAACAGCAATATCAAGCTATTTGTCCCCACCCTCTCAGCAATTTTTCGATCAATATCACTTGCATTCAGTTCAATTAACAATAAGGCAAATTAGATGTAAAGGGCACTACTGTTAAAGCAAGCAAAATTATGGAAAATAATTTATTTCACAAAGAGCTATTAAGGCTTAGTATACTCGTATAATATATATTTTTTCCTTCTTTTTTTTTTTTGGTGTATATTGTGCACTACTTGTTTTTTAAGCGGCACCATAGCTACAATAAAGTGAAGTGCTTATATACGCGCACATGTACTACAATAAATGTGAGAGTAGGCAATGTGAATAAATTCGAGTTGTGAGTTGATTAAAAACGATTTACGTTTAAGTCTTAGATACTAAAATACAAATGGAACACATTATGTAATTTAACAAACTTTAAAAAGACGAAATGTGTGTGTGTAAACACTTAGATATTTGGCTTGATCCTCGCAATTGCAGGTGTGAGTTTAATTTATGAACTAGCATATGTATAAAGTATGTGCAATAGGAAGATTTGATGTGGCATAAAATCATATAATTACTAACTAAATTATACAAATAATATAAAAAATAAAATAAAACACAAAAATTAATTTTATTCTTTTTTTGTAGCTTTTTAATTGTTTTTTTGTTTTGTTTTGCATACAAGTTTATCGTAAAAATTATCGTAGTTTTGAGAATAATATAATATTATATATATATATATATATGTATGTTTCGACAGACTTATAAGTTGAGAATTTCTTTTTTAATGTAAACAAATTAAAAGAAATAATACAAAGGAGCACAAATCAAAAGTAGGAATTTCGGAAGAAAAGTACAAAAATAATAATAATACACTGGGTAGGAGCACAGCAAGTCCACAATTTGTTTCATAAATAATATTAACTTTTTTTTTTTGTGTTTATTTATAATTAAGTATACTGCTTCGTTTTTTTGTGTTATACATTTACTCACATATTGTAAACAGGAACAGAATAATGAAGTACAAAAATATATCAAAAATGCACAATTCGATCGTTAATGTGATTGAAGATTAAAAGATCTTTCGCATGCCATCTAATGTTTAATAGATATTCATATACATATGTATGTATGTGTATAAAAGATAATTTCACTTCGTATGTTTTTACTTATGACGCATTTCGCGCATACATTTTTTTTTTTTAATATATTTTATTTATTTTTTTGTTCTGCTTATGTTTTGCATTTAATATTTTTTAATTTTTTTTTGCGTATTATTAGTTGTCGTTGTTAGGCCAAAAACTACTGGCTCACAAAGTGGTAATAAGAAATTTTTTTCTTTAGCTTTTTCATAAATTTTATGATTTTTTATTTCATTTTTCGTCTTTTCCATACATTCACCAGCACAAAATCTACTATTTAAATAAATGACAAAAGTAAAAAATTACTATGATAAACATCAAAACATAATAATTAACGATGAGCATTCCAACATCAATCCATGGATGATAATGAGTATAAAAAAATAACTGAAACAATAAATATTTTTGTCTTTAAATATGGGTATGCAATAAAAGGAGTGRAAAATCAGTGTAAATGACAATATTCGCCATAGAAGTCTTATCCGATTATAAAACAGCAAAAAAAAAAAAATAATAATTGAAAACATTAGACACCGAACTATTCAAAACAAAAAAAGTATAATAAAAATTAAACAAGTACACATTAAAAATGTGTTCCCTTTTTTGAAAAGGTAAACACTTTCGAGAACCATGCAACTTGACGAAGATTACTTTCAAGCGATTATATCAAAAACATATATATTTGGGATGTGCACTTTTGCATTCATGCAGAGTCTATCGCAATTTGGCCAACACCAATGACCACTGCATATGTATTTTAATTTAAATTGAAAATATTTTCGTTGAAAATATGCAATTATTTAATTTTATAGTTTTTGTTCGTTTCGCCACCGTCACATTCGTACTCCACTATCGAGAATTATTCGCGTATCATGTGAATTTCTACTATCTCTTATTGAATCTCATCTTTCTTATCAAAGTTCGTCTAAAATATTATTTTCCTCCATCAAAATACTCTTCTGATTTTATTTGTTTTAATTGTGAATAGCAATCTGCGCAGCAATAAAATTATAAAAATTATGCGCAGCTGCTTTTACCTACCACTCCACTGCTTTCTACCAAGTACCTTGTGCATTATGTCTACTTGTCCAAAGGTAAGTTCCCCCACAAAAATAGATATTATTAAATGACGACGATCGCTTTCTTTGATCTAACATTTCTTCATTTTGCTTACTGCACTTTAAAAAAATACAAAGTCTTCTTTCTGTTCCTTCCCTTTAAGCATCGATCAGAGATGCCTGTATATGCTGCTCCAATAGGGGATCTTCACCATTCTCTAGCTCAAGTTTATGAATACCATTCTCTATCAGTTGCAAAGCGTCACCGTCTCCTTTACCGTTCAAATGGGGTGTTTGCTCCGGTTGAATAATAGTAGGCTCTTCTGCTCCTAGAGCAGCAGTACCATTTGTTTTTGTCTGTTCTACGGTAGGCTTATTTTTTAATAGATTTGATGATTTAGTTGGAGTTACTGCTTTCTTAGTTACATCTTTGGTTTTCGCTTTCAGAAGTGAGTTTGTCGTTTTCGTAGGTGAAAGTGAGGTTTTGCCAGCTGTTGATGGTCTAGTAGTAGGTCCCGGTGGAGTCTTTTTCTGCAACGTACTGCTGGAGGTTTTTGCAGCTGTTGCACTAATCGATGCACTGCCTACAGTGCGGCGTGTCGTAGTCGATGATAATGTCGATGAATGCGTAGTCTTCGGAGCAGGGCGAGCAGTAAAAGTCTTAGTTGTTGTGGTTGTTGTAGTGGTAGAAGTTGAAGTCGAACTCTTAGCACGACTTGCAGCAGTTGTAGTGGTCGAACTTTTAGTTACGCCGTTAGCCGTTGGTGCTGTAGTCTTAAGAGGACTTTTAGTCGTAGCTAGACCAGTACCTGTGGTAGTTGGAGCCTTGCGTAGTTGCGATGTTAAAGTGGTGCGAGGTGATGACAACTTCGGTTTGGTTGTACCCGAGAGACCCAAAGTTGTTGGCTTAGTAGGTGCACTGCTGGTTGGTTTGGGCTTGGCTGTGGTTGTGCCATTGGAAACAGTCGTCGATGCCCCTGTAGTAGTTGGTGCAGAACGACGTGCAGTAGACAAGGTAGTGGTACGAGAAGCAGTCAATTTAGCAGCAGTGGGAGCTGTCGTTGGGCGTGTTGTAGTTGTTGTCTTAGTAACTGTGCGAGACGCTGCAGTGGTAGACGTTAGAGGCTTGCGAGCAGCAGTATTAGCTGACAATTTAGTTGTAGCCGGTTTTTTCTCAGCGGTAGCAGCCGTCTTAGCCGGAGCAGTACGTGGTCTAGCGGCAGACACCGTTGAAAGAGTGGTTTTGCCAATCGGTTTTTTAGCTGGTTCTGCAGCCTTTTTGACATCGATAGCCTTGGTTTTCGTCGAAGTTGGAGTACGAGTCTGTTTAACCTCTGGTTTTTTGCGAGCATCTGCCGCAGCTTTCACGGCGCCAGCTGTAGCTGCCAGTGCACCTACAGCAGCAGCAGCAATCACGGCTTCTTCAACAGCTGATGGTGTGGTTTCATTAGCAGCTGACTCTATAGTGGTTTCCGAATGAGTAGGCACCGAGGGCTGATCTGAAGTTTCTAAAATTGGTTCAGCCACAGCCGAAACATTTGCATCAAAATTACTGCTCTCAAATAATACATTTACAGGCTCAGAATGGAGTGCCTCCGACTCTGGCTGCATCATAAGCTCTGGCTCAGAAACTGATTGTACTTCTGGCTCTGGCACAGCTTTGATTTCTGGCTCAGGGACAGCCGCATATTCTGGCTCAGCAACGGGGGACTCTACCAGTTGCACATGAGTCTCTTCATGTGCAGGCTCAGCAACTGGGGACTCTACCAGTTCCACATGAGCCTCTTCATGCACTGGTTCAACTGATAAATCTACTGGCTCTGGCTCAAATGGAGCAGGATTCGAGGTTTCCACAGATATGGAAGCTGGTATGTGCTCCTCAAATCCATTTAATTCAGACTCCAATTTTACAGGGGACGCTACTAGTGGTTGTTCATCTTCTGGCTTTGTCAATAATAAATTGTCTTCGTGATGTTCAAATGTGGACTCTGCTGTTTCCTCCTGTGAGTGTTGTTGCTCTTGTGGTTCGTTGTGGTAGCTTTGTTCGTTTTGCTGCGAAAAGCCAGCATCTGGCTGCAGTTCGTTTGAAAATGCTGAAAATGCATGTTCCACTTCAATTGGTGGCTGTTCAAGCGATGTGTCTTGTTCGGGTTCTGAAGCAGCAAATGGATTCAGACTTTCAACGATGTTAGCTGCTGTTTGTGCAACCTCCTCTACCTGTGAAAACATAAAAAAACATAAATAAATGTTATTACATATTAACATTTAGAAATTCAATAGTGTAAAAATCAATTAATTAAGGAAATTCTCAAAACATGGCAAGTTTTCCGGATTCTTTAATTTAGTAATGCCTAAAAATGAAAGCAGGTAAATTGTTAAACACAACATTTCCAATAGAGTTGTACACATTTGTGCTGCATCATTAACAATGAGGTATGCACCATCATTCATATTGAAGACGTTCTATACATAAAGCACTTTGGTGCTTAGTCAAAGACATTGACATTTAAAGCCAAAAAAGCTAATAGTTTGAGTCACACAACAAAGAATTTTACACAGCTGGAAGCAGTGTGCGTCAGTCAGGCACAGCTATCGATGATTAACAATAATTAAGAACATTTTTTCATAATTGTACACATCAGCGAGAGAAGATGCACAGTAACCAACCATGAATTGGATTAGAACTGCAGACTCAACAAATTTCGTTGAATAATGATCTCTTTAATAACTCTGTGTGATAATTATGAATCTCAAGTTACAAGTTGAAAATGTAAAAGTATAATACATACATATTTTTAGTTGAAGAATATTATCCGGCGAAGTTCAAAGCAAATATAAAATAGTAGAAAAGATAGAAACAAGTAACGGATCAAATTATTTTTCGTACCGAAGACGGAGTTACTTACACACACAAAATATATGTGGAATCAAAGTAGAAATAAAGAAAAATAGCACCAACACCAAAAGTGTTAGAACAAAGGTTAACAAATTGGAGAGATATGAAAATTTCAACATTTTGAAAGTAATTAAGTTACAAAATGAAAAAAAGAAACAGACTTCTTTCTTTTTCTTTTTGGAAGATACTAAAGTATTAAAACTGTTATAAAACCAAAAACTGTTCTGCAAAAACAGTACAAAAAATATTTTTGAATTTTTGTAGATATGTACGTATAGCACATCAGGGTATATGCATTCAGCTGTTAACAGCAAATTTGAAACGACCCCTATTTTGAGGTAAATGATGTTATTTTCCAATAAATCACGTATATTTATTGTAATTTCACTTATTTTATTAAAACCTATGTTAAACTTAAACTCTAATAGTAAACATTTGGTTTTAAATTCGTTTTTATTTTGAATATTTTAAGAAAAATTGTGGACACAACGATTTCAGTGCGACAACTAATTAGAAACAAAAATATTTTATCAACAAAAAATAAAATTACAAAAGCTTGCTTTCTTTTGGTTAGTATTTTATTGGTTATCTCTTTTACTTTAATATGGCTTCACATCGATTCCGAATTTACTGTATAAGACTCTGACAATCCACCAATTTTGTAGCTGCCATGCCGTTCTAATTTCATCACAAAGAACATCCTATTTGGGATAGTTTTGGTGCATTTGCGGCTCTTTTAACCTCACCCAGAGATGTGCTATAGGGTCTAAGTCTGTGCTGAACGTTTCCCACTCCAAAACATGAATAGAAGTTTCATTAAACAACTTTTGTGTCAACTTAGAAACGTCAAACATCGAGCAATCGTTCTCTTGGATATTTGGACATTGTATTCGCTTTGAATTTCATGTAGAATGTCAGTGCAACTATTTTTTGGGTCTATTCGCGAGATAATATGAATTGTGCGGTCTATTTCTGTTGCACGTTTTTCCTTTGCGTGCAACTTTGGAAATAGTTTTAAAATTCTATATATGTTTAAAGGCATTGAAAAAAATTTTTGTTGAGCATTTGATCTGATTTACAATTTATTTATACGTCTTTCTAGACTGACGAAGGTCAAAAATGTAATTACGTAGGACAGATCAGCTTTTTCTCATTAAAAACCTGAATAATACATTTTAATATATTTTAAAGCATAACTTTGAAACACGCGCTTACTATTAATCAGTAATAAGTATTATTAATAAAAATTAACATATTGAGGAATTTTAATTATTTAAACAACTGTTTCTAATTATGTATCATTCAATATATGTGCCTGTGCCCAAAAAATAAGGTGACATTTGAATTTAAACTGCGCGGCTAAGGATTTAGAGAATTATTATTTTTTAGGTTGGTAGTACTGTCAGTCACTTTTATGTCAAAATATTCATTAGTGTTTGAGATACGTGTCGTTTTGTGAGCTGCTAAAAGTGAGTTTTTCGTTTTTTGCGATGTCGAAATTTGTTGAGCAAAGAATTTGTATTAAATGATCATTTCGCAACCACCGTATTCACCTAATCTGGTGCCGTGCGACTTCTGGCTGTTCACCAAGCTCAAAAAACCGCTCCGGGGCACCGTTTTTATACGATAGAGGAGATTCAAGCCGCAGCGAAGACGAACCGAAGGCCATCCCGGAAAGTGACTACAACCAGTGTTTTGAAGATTGGAAAATCCGTTGGCGTAATGTACTACATCTAGTGGGGATTACTTTGAAGCGGATGAAATGGATTTGGAAGAATAAATAAAGAATTTTCAAAATAAATACAATGTTGGCACAGTATACATACATAGACGCATAATATCAGTTTTTGCTTACATAAGTACATGAATTTATATTTAAAAGTCCGCTAAGATTCATGATGACTTTTCCATATGAAGACAGTTCAGTTTTTATTTCCTAGGGCGTCTTTGCTGCCACCCCACCTCACACATTGCTGTATAGCTTTATGGTTTAACGTATGTTAGCTTATAGTGGCTTCAAATGAAGGAAAAACTACAGACGTTGATGAATATGTATGACAAAGAATTTTAGGATGTGAGTTTTGCAAAGTAATTGCACGTGATTAGGGTACGCAATTGATACAGGAGAAAATTCATTTAAATACGCTATTGTATTTTCTGAATATATATACGAATTCAAATTTGAAAACAAACAGTTCGTTTGCGACAATGAGAATATAAAAAATGTATCTCTTCATGACATAGAATTTCATTTCGGACTTCTCTACGCTTTTGTTAGCAATAGGAAGTATTAACCGAATGCAACAGTAGTATTTGAAAATACGATACAAACGACGTAACGTCACCACATGAACAATCGTCACAACAATTAATTAATTTAACGGTTTCTTGGTAAGGTCGAAAGGTTGTATTAAATAAATCTGAAAACACATTATAAAGTTCTAAAATAAAAACTAGCTGGTTTATGTTCTACGACCTAATTGCACGTAATATCGAAACTATGAAATTAGTAACATGTTTTTAGGGGAATAAATAATTTCTAAAAATTAATATTTGAATTTTATTTAGTTAGTTTTTGGCTCATTAAACCCGGGACAGAAAACATTAAGCTGAAATGTCGCAGATATTGTAAGGTATATACATATATATACTCATAACCAGACAGCTCCCATAGAGGGAAAAATTACATAAATACAACATTTTCATTCAAAACCAGTTCCTAAAATCGGGCATGAGTACGATTCAATGACGGGACCAACACTACTTTGGTGATTTTACGTTGAAATAATATCTGGTAATCGGACAACATTTCATAACATGTGTCAAGAAAATTGTGAAAATTTATAGTACTCATTCTTTTAAATTTGTATTAATTTTTGATGTTGTGCGACAATTGATTTTAAGGCCAAAAAACATACAAATTGACTTGCACGGCATAATCATCTGGTCGCGATAGCTCAACGCAACCTAGTGGGATATTTGTCTTTCATTCACTCTTGGCTGACCTTGGCTCAGATAGTATATTTATTCAATGGAAACATAGTTCTGAACTGCAGCTTCCAATTGTAAGAATATATTTTAAACACATGCTGTTGCCACGCCTTTCATATGTGGGCAGCTGCCTTAGCCGCACAAAAACCCTACGACGATGGGAGTCCGGTTATGATGAATTTTACTCTAAATGATCAGAGTGACGAACTACGGCGTTTTAACCATATCCGTCTGTATATACGTAGTAGTATCTCAGTTTTTGATATATCGTCAGAAATTTTGCAGCCATGCGCCCATATCAGACCACTATAGCATATAGCTGCCATACAAACTACGAGTAAGCGATGAAAATCAAGTTCTTTATAAAAGATTTTGTTTTTTTGTGAAGGGTATTATTGCTTCGGTGCAATAAAAGTTAACGCTTTTTCTTTTTGTAAATTAATAATGATAAACATCTCATGAGCGAAAAGAAATGGTGATACTTGCCCCTTAAATATTTAACAAACTTACTGAACTTAAGCAAAGCAAGCATAAGGGGATATACGGTATAAATATAATTTTTCGGCCACAATACCATTAAACCTTTGTATATGAATACATTATAGAGTATGAAAAAATGTATGTAAATCTATTTTTTAATGACGAAAACAGTTTGGGGGAGCAGCATTTTGGAGTCGAGGATGTCGGTTTGGACGATGCTCGAGCAGTCACACAGTCGACAACAAAAAACTCAGCGTCAAATTAATTTCTTGCTAAACTTAGCAACTCCTCACACAGGCACATAATATATGTAGTTAGTATGAATGTATATATGTATGTAAAAGTGCAGTATGGTGTGTTTTAAAGGGGACAACAAAACAGCAAGACAAACAAACCCAGAGTGACAGGAAATAATAAGAAGAAAAAAACGTGCCAACCAAAACCAGAAAGTCCAAAATCCAACAAAAACAATGGAGAACAACAAGAGCAAAGCAATGACAGCAATGTGGAGCTGGTTTTTGGTGTTCGGCGTTCGGCGTTCGGCGTTTGGAAAAGTTATTTAAAACAAATGAAGGCAACTGAAAATGTCATTGACCAAACCTAGAGGCAGCAGTAATAAAAGCAACAGTTGTTGGCATTCATCTAATGGCAAGCGCTAACGCCACTTGCAACGAAATGCCAGCTTTTGTAGGTATTCATTTGTGTAAATTTGTGTCTAAACTTCCACGACATACATACAAGCATATACATAATATATATTTATGTGCAAGTATTATGTAGTGTTTGTCTAAAGCTGGGAAAAATTATGGCGCTCGGCTGCGGAGCAACCAAGTGTAATGAGGTCACATAT